AATCGTTGATTTATGAATTTAAATAAAAGAAAATCTTGTCTGACCGATGTAGCTTAAGTGTTGCCAATTCAAAACATCAGTCAGTCAGAACGGCCTTAGGATCGATATTACATTATGTATTTATTACATATATAATATTATATTATTATTGGTATTGCTAAAGAGGATTTGCTTTAATAAAATATATGATCTTGTTATAGATATTAGCAAACGTTATTATCTAACCAATATCTGCCATGTGCACTTCTTGAAAATTTCGACTATTTCATGATTATAACTATTTTAATTATTATACTTACCGAATTTTTGAATACAAAACAGCTATGCCAATCGTAACATTATAACGGTGATCAGTGATATTGCTAAAAATATGTTATGTTTTTTGCACAAAGCAAATATTGGTTTGATAAAGACCATAATTGGTTCGCACCGTGCACCAGGACAAGATACATGATTTAAATTTAAATTTGCGTTGGTGAAAACTTCGAAATAAAGTACTGATATAGATAATTTATAAAAATACTTATTTAACTTTTAATCTAGTTGTTCGATAGTAGAATCAACATGATACTTGTTAGTGTCCAGGGTCTTTGAATCACGTCTCTGTTACATTCATACATGTATCTATGTATCAGTAGATGTTTAAAAAAGAATAGAAATGGAGAGATTAATAGCCTTTTCTCTTACTATAAACGTATCTTTTGAATCTATGAAGCTATTGTTGACAAACTTTCAGCAAACTTTTAGGCCTTGAGTTATTTTTTTGTGAATCTGTTAAGTTCAGTTTCATGTAGGCCTTTATTAAAAGAAAATCTCGAGAATTATTTCTGTGATGATTGTTGGAAAGAATTCATAATTAGACCCAGTGCTCTGCTGATAAAACTTTTGAACTGGAAGTCTTGTCATGACATCTTTTCTACATGAAATAAACAGTTACCAAGTTTATGAAGAATAAAAAAGACAAAGTAAAAATCATAATGGGTATCTAGCTAATATTTTATTTACGAAAACAAACATAAAAGGAATGACTGATTTAAGTAACTAAAAAGCATGCCGGTTTGTTAGGGAAAAAGTTTTTGACCATGTCCGCACGACGCAAACAAAAGGGTATTATCTTCAAAATCAGTGTTTTGAGATATCGCGTTTTGAAGTTTTGAAAAATCATAGAAGCGGAACTACTTGTTCAAATGTTTAAAATGATACCTTGATTTAAACGTACATTATCCTTCTTTGTGCTGAGTAAGTTCAGTTAGTGTATCAATAGTAGTTTTTATTTTAAAAGTACTTTTATGTGACTGGGTAAAGAGAATACCATATAAGCAGTCCAAATGGCTCATGTTAAAATTAAAACTAGTATCATTTTAAAATAATTTTGCTGAAAATAACATATTAAATAAAATTGAATAGGTCAGAGTGTATTATTTTAAATAAAACTTCAAACTTGTATTAATCCGAACGGGCAATAGGGTATTAACTTAACTTAATATTGTTTAGAATACTCACAATCATAAATTTTGCCTAGAAATTGACGACATGTGTTGCTTTAATTCAAAAACTATTTCGAATTAAAATACAATTATCTTACCAGTTTATAGAGAAAAAATTGTAGTTTTCGAAACGGAAATAAAAAAATTAATGGTTTTGCCGACTTAATACCCTATTGTTTGTGACGTGCGATGTATTTCCTAAAAAACAATATGCTTTAATAAGTTACAAAGGAACCCAAAAAAGTTGAAACATAAAAGGTCGAATCTCAGTTAAGGCACTTCTTCCACCGCGCCGACGTAAAACGAGAAGCGAGTTAGAAACAGGAAACGAGTTGACAATCGGCGGTGAACGAGTGTTTTCCGATAGTTTTGTCGCTGAGCTATATAAGCTAATGTGCGAGTGCGACCAGCGATTACTGGCGCCACTCGCGGAGGTAGTTCTGTTCCATTGGCTAAGTGAGTATTGCTGAGCGTAATACTCGCTAAGCGATGTTCTGCTTGATTAATCTCATCGCTCTGCGACAAACTTGTGGAGCGAGTTCTCGCTGGCATTGTGAATAGTCAGCGATCAACTATTAATATATGCATCTCTTTTGTTTTTACAGAATGTATATCTATTGTACGTTTCTTGAGCGAGATAATAACCGAAAGTTAGTCGCTACCTCGCCGGTGATAGGACAGCTGTCTAAGAGATTGCCACTAGTATAAATATTAACACAAAAGTTAGCCTCTAATGATGTTGTATTTAGGTACTCGTGTAAGTATTGTATAAGCAACCTTTGCTGACTTTGTTTCTTCTCGGTACTAGTTCTCCCGCCGTATAAATGCGACCACACTTTTCGACTTCTTATATCTTCGACTTATATTGGGCCATGAGTCCATGACCCAGCACGCGGGCCCAGTGCGAATTGGCGGGTGCTAACGACTGCAGATGCAGTCGGGATCAATGGCTAAACATGCCTTCCGAAGTACGGAGGAACTCGGGATAGAAGATTTTTGGTGACCCATCCAATTACCGACCACTGCGAAAGTTGCTTAACATCAACGATCGCAGCAAATAACTTGCCGAATTGTATAATGGGGAGCAATCAGCCTCATCGCGCCTTGGCAACCGGCGGCAGTAAATTTACCCCCCCTCCCCAATTACATACCCAATACGGCTCTTGGATTACCAACACATAAACCTTAATGCTATGGAGCCGGGAAAAATGTTTAATAAGCCCATTAACGGGGTCTGGCATTTTTTTGAAAATTGTTCTCATTTATTCTACGGCGGGCGATAACATAGCTGTTTTGGCGAAAAATAAGGTTAGGTCGTGTTGATTCCCCTGAATTAATCGAGTTTAAAGTACCTATATTTTGTAGTCAAATAATACTATTCTGAAATGTGAGAAAGAAAGCATTTCCCGACCATACAGATACAATAAAAATAAATGAAGAAATATTTCTTACCCTCACTAATTAGCCTCGCTCCAAAGTAAGCAATGTAAGGATTATGTTAAGGGTTACTAGGTTAACGGATAGAATATGTATTCTACGGTATATGTATACCGATACATATTATAAGTATATTTATCAAGAAAACATCCATCACTTAGTTAGGTATAGATGCTCGTATTTATCACAAACATTAGATCCAGCGGGCTCGAATGTGAATCCTTTAAACTACAGTATATATTCTGTGTTTGAACCGATTAAACATTCCCAACGCTATCAGATTAACATTATTAGGCAGATACATACTCTTTATAAATTTCTTTAATAGTACCTATTTTCGTCCATCATCTTCAAGTGCCTCGACCTTTTATGAAATACCTCGTATTGTTTAGCTTAATATGACGAAAAGGAGCAACAAAAATGTTATTATAAGCTTTTTTAAATTTGTTATTATAGGGTTTCTAGAAAATAGTAAAAAAAATACTATTTTCACTTTGAAACGGCATACCTTGTTACGGCATTTCACGTGTTTGGGATAGAAGTTTAAAACAACAAGATCAGTCGAAAATAAACTAACGAGATAAACTTATCAAAAAATAAAACTTTAAAATTATAATTAGAAAATCCCACCAAGCGGTCTGTCCAGGAACGGAATATATTTTACAGCGGGTACTAATTTTTTTAGGGACATCAATACACCCCAATATATCCTGCCAATCGTATTGAATTTCATCGACGGGTTAAGGCCATGTCCAGGACTTTAGCGACTTTTTCATTAAAGAGACATACCCCCTTCTTTAGTTATGTTTGTAATTTCCTTGATAAAAAGTGTATTAATAACCACTAAAATAGAATAAAAAATGTTTACTTTTGAACGGCTTATGTTTGGGTTTAGTTTGCTCCAGGCGCAAACCCCATCGTACCAAAGAAAATATGAGAACGCCAAAAATGTTAGTTTAGATTATGACCAACTCAGCAATCCAATGAAATATTTACGTATTCGTTTAACTGATTATATAATTAATAACACCAAAACATTATTACCCTAATGCATTCAAGGGCGGATCCAGCTTTGGCGCTGGGGGGGGTCATATAGCCAGCTTTGGCGCCGGGGGGGGGGGGGGGTCATATAGCCGTGGTATATCCACGAAAGTACTTAAATAAAATCCCCCTGGGTTTGGTCCACCTGTACCCAGCCCAAGGGGAGGGGTCATGACCCCCATGACCCTACTCTCTTTGGAAGTCGGTTAAAAATTAAATATTGCATCACTACTTTTTCTACAAGTTTTGAACAATGTAACTAAAAATTTTAATTACGTACTTTGTCCCTGTACACGGTGCGGACTAATTATGGTCGCGGTCAAACCAATATTTGCTTTGTGCAAAAAATATAACATACTTTTAAGCAATCTCTGATTACCGTTACAATGCTATTACAGGCATAGCAGTCTTTGTATCCAAACATTCGTTTAGAATATAAATGGCAACAGTCTTATTGATGAAATAGTCGCAATTTTCAAAAAGTGCAAATCGCAGATATTATTTTAATAACGACGTTTATTAATAGAATATTTATAACAAGATTGTATATTTTTTAAAGCAAATCCTCTTTAGCAATGTAATCGAGATATAATGTATTTGATCCTTAGGCCGACTATTGATGTTTTGAAATAACAACACTTAAGCTACGTCAATCAGACAGGCTTTTAAAATTACTAAAATAAATCATTACATAGGAGAATGGAACACCAAGAAATAAATAGGCAACTAAAATTATGTATCATATGTTGCTCTTTTGGGATCTACTACTCATGAGTACAAAAGGAAGTTAATTCCACGTGGAATACTTTAGATGGAACTAACTAGAAAACATTGTTCCTCTTACACAACAAGAGATAAATAACCAAGCTCTAAATATTAACGAAACGTTTGTTAAATAACTTTTTTGCCAACATTAGCGTTGGCGCAACATTGGCGCCCTTTTAAGGGGAGGAACGGTTTATGGCGATTTTCATCAAAACAACACCTTATATTGAAAAAATAATTACAGGTTACTATTTAAATAAAACTAGTTTTAATGGGTTAATGCACGAAACTTTATTTAATGATTTTTTATTTAATTTGGTCGAGTTACTTTCGAAAGACTTTTATTGAGCGTTAGGTTACTACTTACATTTTTTTCACACACGGAAAAATATCTGCGAAAAATCAAAATAACCAACTCTTTGGTTTTCTGTTATTATAAACCACAAAATCTTTCAATATTATTCGCTTCTTTGAATGATATAAAGATTCCTTTTTTTAGCTAATAAAATTGTTCTGTGGCAATGTCTGTGGGTGTCTGCCTCCTCATAGCTTCGTAGTCTCGCCGGTTCGAGTACCAAAAAGGTCTGTTATCTATGGGCATGCTCTCTATACTGTTTATTAGGTTTACATCTCCTATAGTTTCTCGAACTGTGCGTCCTCTCCGAATCTGTTGGAGAAATGAGCCGGTTTGCATAGCCGGGTAACCAATCGGTCGTGAGCCAGCGTAGAAAGGCCTCTGAGCTAAAGTGATTGCAGTGGTAGCAACTAGAAGAATTAATACAGCAAGTTGCGCCATTGTCATTACCTGCAACGACAAATAAAATTACGGTTAAAAACGGTTTTATAGTGATACTTTATATAGTTGTTGTATTACCGCATGTTGCTAGAACTCCAGGGCTAAAGGAACGGTTTGGGTTTTGGCCGATTGTTGCCGTGCGTTTTTTTTATAGGACGGAGATACATATTTGCAAGAAATCCAAAAACTGGCCAAGTATAAGTACTTAGGACGTTTTGATATGCAGCAAGCAAAAAACGCTGCAATTAATATTATCTTGTCACACTACTTTTGGCACGTTAGCGTTTATAAAAACAAATTTATATTTTATTTTAAGCATTTTACTGCTAGATATTTAAATCTAAAGAAAAAATACTAGAAAAAATCCATGCTGTAAATGGGTTCGAATGCCGTCTGCGGTCTGGTCCGCGTGGAAATTTTCTAGTGAAATTTTCTTTACATTTAAACATCTAGCAGTTTAATGCCTAAAATTAAATATAATAAACTACAATTGCTATTTCTTCTTTCAAATGTTTAATACTTTGTAAAGGCATTCGACATTGCGGGTGCAATGCGAAGCGATGGCGCTGCCTTGCAGCCTAAGAAATAGTAGAGAAAATTCGACACGGCCATCAGGGCCGCGGTAGCATAATTGGTCAGTGCATCCACCCGGATTGCGGAAGAGTGCGGGTTCGAGTCCCGACTGCTGCCTGATTTTTTATATTTAAATTGATGTAAGTATATTTATTTTTTAAATTTATATATATTTTTTTAAGCATTTAACTGCTAGATGTTTAAATCTAAAAAAATACTAGAAAAAATCGACGCGGTCATTGGGTTCGAGTGCCGTCTGCTGCCAGGTCCGATTTATTTCTAGTAAAATTTTCTTAAGATTAAAAAAAGTTATTTTTATAAGTACTTTTTCAAACAGAGTGTCGGCAGATGGCGTTGTATTTTAATGAGAAGTTTGACTGGGCTTCACTTATTATCTTGTATACTGTACTCCATTAATTGTATTACAAGATTAATTATGCTAATATTATAAATACAGAATCAATGAAAATTTCAACTGTGTTTCTACTGTTATCTGTTACGAATCATGAGACAGAGCACGCCGACAGACGAACGGACGAATGACAGCGAAGGCTAAGTAATAGGGTTCCGCGCTAATAAATCATTCATTAAAGCAATTACTTCCTATATTAAACGGGTCCAGAGTGAATGCTCTAGGAGCATTTTTTTTGCTTTGTATCCACTTTTACAATCTCGAAATAAGTGTACTTACCTATCGAACAATGTCGGAACAGCTCAAAAGGCCTTGACTTTAAAAACATTCGAATCATAATCGCGATACTTATTTGCACATATGCAATGTTTATTTAATTTAAAAATGGAAAAGGCACAGGCTCACATATTGTTCATGTCGCCTGTTAAATTATGAAGCGATATAAGTAGTAGTATATTTTTAAAATGTACTCAAGTTTTTTGTACTACAAATACTTCTTGTACAGTACTGAAAACATCTAGAAATGTTACAATTTCAAGGGTGTCGGTCCGTCCGTCTGTCAGCACGCTTTGTAATTTTTATGATTCGTAATATGTAGGGGGTAAAACGTTTGGACTTCTCAAAAGAGATGTATAAAACATTCAATTCGATTAAACAAAGTTTGAGCTTAAGTTGAAAGGAGATTGCTCAAATTGGCCTAAATGCACAAAAAATATTGACATACACGGTAATTCTTGGCGTAATTTATAATTTAATTTACAGTCATTAGATTTCAACGGACACCTTTGTATAATATATTTACTTTAAAAAGGACTTATAATATTACCGGTTTGGAAAACATACGAATCATTTTTAATGACTATGGGTGTAGTAACATTCAGCCAAAGACTGATCGAAGTTGTTTATATAACATAAAAACAAATCTATTTTGTAAAGATCGATAAAATAAATCATTTTTTTTAATACACTGTGGTATTAATATCCACCACTATATTATCATTTTCACTAGATGCAATTGTACTCAGACAATTATTATAGATGGTAGGCGACATCATAAAGTCTATTGCCATACATTTTTCGCCAAACACCTCCATAAACACATTATAATCTGTATATATGTTAGACTTTAAGGTATCTATCTATGGGCCAACGTTCCCTGACTATAAATTAATAAATAAATAAAAGTATAAGGTGTGATACACTAAAAATCTAAAATATGGTTATCTTAAAAAGATAACAAAAATAATGAACTACTGAATATTCGGCTATAGAACCTAAATCTCTTAGCTTTCTTTGCTTAACTAGAGTTTAAAAATTCTCTCTAATCTGTGGCTCATTCACACATTTTCTGTCACAGAACCGAAAATGACACCTGATTTTAAAAGTTACTCTTAAGCATTAACTTTAAAAACAGGCAACTATCTGTTAATCTACAAGCTCTATATACCTGAATCTATCTAATCTACTTGGCTTGATTTCCCTAGTTTACTATATAACTTATTTGTTTTTTATTATTTTAATATGTTCAGTGTATATGGTTTATAGAAGTTCTCAGGGGTGTCCGTCAATAATATTCGTTTCTTTTATGTTTTTTTTCTAGTATTCAAGTTATGAATATCATCTTTCTTAATAAAATTACTGTAATATTTATGTATTTCGTATTTCCAATGTTAAATCTTGTACTAAACCCTTCATTATTTCGGCTCTTTTTCGTACACTTTCACTTGGTTAAGTAGTATTATTTTTAAAATGATCTTTTCTTTAACAAAAGATACTTAATCATCCACACTTCAGTATAATTTTTTAAAAGGTTCTAAACGAAAAAGCTGATTGAGCTAAAGGTACCTAATTAATTTATAAATTTCACATGGTAATCGTTATTATATGTACACACCTACCTATTGTTCTGTTTGCTGCCAAACAAAATGCGTGTTTACTTCGCGAATGCACTGTAGATACTGTTTATATTGACTCTTGAAAACACCCGTATAAATAGAAACTGCAGCATATGCGTGTCGTGCCACGCGCAGTGTAGAGTTCCGTAGTTACCAAAATATACTCGATTGGTACTCGCGGTAGCGTTGTGAAACTAATTATACAGGGTGTCCCACGGCAACCTCACACGGAGGGAAAGTACACACATCAAAAGTGTCTAGGGATCAACATATATTTTTGCAATAACTTTTCTCCTGATTGATATTAATTATAATTTTCTTTAAGGATTCATCAAATAAAGTGTTTTCGTTTGTCACAGTAACGATAAACCAAGTCACCTTTGCATTAATAAAGAAATTTGCCATTTTCCTAATAAAGGGATTTTTGACATTTGAACCACTAACACAACAGTTCGAAAAAAAGACTGAAATAACAGTTTTCTCTAAAATTTTATTGGGTAACTTAAACAATTAATAATCCGTATTTCTACCGCGAACACTAACAACACAAGAACATCGGTTTGGCATACTCAAAATGAGTTCATCCAAATCACGCTGTGGAATGGCCGCCCATGTTCGTTGCAACAACAAAAAAAGGTCTTCTTGCGACTGGATACCCTCCATATTCGGCAGAGCTCTTCTCTGTAGACTATCCCATGCATGCTCAATCGGGTTCAAGTCTGGCGACTGAGCAGGCCAGGGCAGGACATTGATGTTAGCTGCGGCGAGAGTCTGTCTTACAACTCTTGCGGTGTGCGGTCGTGCATTATCATGCATTAACTGAAATAAGGGACCGATTTGCACTTGTAGAGGAACGATGACGTCTGATACAATCGTCTCAGCATAAATTTGAGCGTTGAGGTTGCCTCTGATCCAAATCAACTCAGTTCTTCCGCCGATCCAAATACCCGCCCATACCATGATGGTTCCACCACTATAAGGATGGACTTCCTGGCAGGATTTTAATCGCTGTTGGCGTCCAGGGGTTCTCCAGTGTCGTATGCGTCTTGTATCCGATCTCATACCAAAACGAGACTCATCAGAAAAGCACACGAAACGCCATTGTTCTTCTGCCCAATTTCTGTGTTCAAGAGCCCATTGATATCGAATCCTACGATTGTGCATTGCTATAGGTGGTACCCGTAGCGGTCTTCGGGAATGAAGGTTCACTTCATGCAAGCGGTTTCTGACTGTTTGGTCGCTAATTAAGTTCCCTGAAGAGTGATGAAGCCTCACGGCTAACATCATGGCGGTTATTGTTGGAGCTCTTCGAGTTAAGATTTGAATGTATCGGTCTTGTCTCCGTGTGGTGCAGCGATACCGTCCTCCATGGTGCTCAGCCACGGTACCAGTGCTTCGGTATCGTGTCCAAAGTCGACTGATAACACTCTGACTTGTATTCAGAGCTAAAGCCACAGTACGTTGCCGGGAACCAGCTTCTATCATTCCCACGGCTCTGAGCATTTCTTCCCTGCTTAAATGACGTCGCCGCTCCATAATAACGTTGGTTTTAATCAGTAGTAGGGAAACAGTAGCACTAATAATGTCTTCAATGCGTTGTATGTTTTTATAGGGAAAATATTGACAGCTGATTTTCATCTTTTATTCGAATTTGATTCACAGTTCCTGATTCAAATTATGAAATGCACCAAAAAGGATCCATATAAATTTATAAAATCATAAATTTATTACAAAGCCACATCTCAATCTCAAGAAATCCGCATAAAAATGCTTGATCCCTAGACACTTTTGATGTGTGTATGTTAAATATTGAAGATAGGATATTTTACTGAAAGAAGACATAATTTTATTTTTAATAATAACTAGAACTGCATTCACAGATTTTTTTAAAATCGCCTGCTGCAAATGGGAAATAAACTCGTGAAATTTCGAAAAAAAAAACATAACATATTTTATGATAACTATCGAAAGAGTTAATTATATGGATTAGTTTTTGCTAGATAACATAGCATTTTAAATGAATAGAATGTCTTATTACGTTATAAAAATTATAAAGTGATATACAAACTGTAGTACGTATGCAGTTACAATGCGATTGGCAGAAATTTATAAAAATAATAATTCGAAAATGGAACACTAATTTCCAAGCGTCTGTTCTTTTGTTTTTTATGAGTTTCATTTTCGTTTATTTGTATTTTTTTGTTAATTTACTTACCATGGCGTATCAAAATAAAATGGATTTAATAGAAGCTTACTTTATGAAACACAAAGACATAGTAGCTTTGCAGTGGTACCGCGAAAGATATCCTGATAGAGACGTAACTTCTCGATATGTGTTTAAAATGTAAGTGGATACTTTAAGAAAAGGACGTTTGATATGCGCTTACAGAAACCACAGCAGCGGATGATAAACGTCAACTATGATGATGTCAACATTTTAACTAACTTTGCGGCGTATCCGATTTTATATTTATTTGTGTTAAATAATTTTAAATAAAATGTTAAATTTACTTTTCTTTGATTTAAAATGCTATGTTATTTAGCCAAAAATAATCCCAATGATGTCTCCTTTCAGTAAAATATCCTATCTTCAATATTTAATATACTTTCCCTCCGTGTGAGGTAGCCGTGGGACGCCCTGTATTTTTTTGTGATTTTTAAATAGTTTTTTTTTAGATTTTGTTGCAATGCAAGGTTTTACGCTACAATAACTTCTTGGAACTATTCATGTTTTTTTCTTAGGAATTTTCAAAAGGTAGGAAATTTTCTTTAACCGAAGTTAAAACGATTATTTCTCTTAAACTAAGAAATCCACTTAACCGTTATAGTTTTCCCTAAAAGTTCATGAAAAGAACTATATTATGATTTTTTTCAGGTTTTACAAGCCAATACTTTAGCTTTTAGAGGGGGGACGCCCGCCATACTCAAACAAAAATTAGCGCTTTAGAGTTCAATTCAAACGGACCCCTAAATCGAAAAATAGTCTTTGGAACTCTTAAGTAAATTTAAAGGACCTATTCAACACGATGGGGTAGATGATGAAAAAAATCATCCACAGGTTACATGTAGGGGAGCTATCCCAAAAAAAAATATTTTTCATAACTATATTCTACCATTTTGTCGGCGTTATTAACTGCACAAAATAACAGCTCTCTAGTGCTTATAGTGTGCAAGCAAAACCGGGGACGGACATACGGACACGACGAAACAAAAAGGGTTCCTTGTCAGGACTACGAAACCCTGAAAGGGTAGAGCAGAAATCCTGCGACCTGTAACTGGTGAACGTTTAAAAAGAGAATGACAAAGATGTAAATGAGATTGCTATGGTGTTGTACCTAACACTATGGAAATATTATTCTACGCCTTTACTTTAATCAAATATTATAAACTTTGCTTTGGTGATTATATAATTATTCAATTTAGCTATCTAAGGATGTTGCCACCGGTGTCCAAAACAACGGACGGGAATTATTGCTGTCGTCAACTTGCGACATTAACGTCATTAATTGGTATTGTAATAGGTTGGTGAAAAAGTCTCTGATTATTATGTCTGAACTTGTAATAAAATCTCTTTGGCTATGCCATTTGTACATGACTGGTTTAGGTATCATTAAAAAGTTTAAATTTGGAAGAAGATAATTCCAAATTCAAATTAGAAAAATGTGTGCTTTTCATTTATCTTCCTTCCTGTCAAGATGAGTGAATCTTATGAAGAAATTCGATACATTTTAAAATTTTACTTCAAAAAATGTAAAAATACAACGTAAGCCGCGAAAAAATTGTGATGTTAATGGATCCAGTACAGTGTCTGCGAGAGTAGCACAAATTTGGTTTAAGCGTTTTCAATCTGGAAATTTTGATGTCAAAGATGCACGACACTCTGGTCGCCTTGTTACGGATAAAATAGATGGCATTTTTGAAAAAGTGGAATAAAATCGGCATATCAGTAGTAATTAAGTAGATGAACAACTGAGACTTGACCACATAACAGGTTCGGCGCATTGGAAAAAAGCTGGGTAGGTACACAAAAAAGCTCGATATTTGGGTGCCTCACGAACTTACTGAAAGAAACCTGATGAACCGTGTATTCATTTGTGATTATTTATTACGACATAATGAAATGGAACCACTTTGGAAGAAGCTGATGAACTGGTGATGAAAAGTGGATCAAATACGACAAGAACGTGTGAAAAAGGTCGTGGTCAAAGGCCGGTCAGGCTTCACAGACTCTGGCGAAGCCTGGGTTAACTCGCAACAAGGTGATGCTGTGTATATGGTGGGATTGGAAAGGCATTATTCATTATGAGCTGTTACCGCCAGGTAGGACCATCGTTTCTGAACTGTACTGCGAACAACTAATGAGATTAAAGCAAGAAATTGGCAGAAAACGCCAGAATTAATCATCAGAAGGGGTGTGATTTTTCATCATGACAACGCTAGACCACAAACACCTTTAGCCACTCAGCAAAAATTAAGAGAGTTATAACTCTCTCAAATATACTATAGTATATTATTGAGCTTCAGATTTCCACCTGATTCTGTCTCTTCAGAATTCTTAAGGCAGTGTCAGGTACAACAAAGCTACTTAAACATTCGGGACCCATTCTACAATCGATCAAAATTTTTTCAATACTTAATGGGTCCCGACTGTTTCTGCTTTGTTCCTTACCTAACAGAATGAAAGAATAAGTATTGGACTTGTTTTTTCAGTTTTTATTAAGAGTACCTTGTTTTCAAGCAGTCTGGTATACCATAACGCAACACAGATGAGACATAACCATGGTAAGCTATGAGTGCCGATTGTTGCGATGCTATCTCTCTATAATAGGATTATTCAGAGCATATATAGATCTATCAAGCTTAACCGTTACAAAGTCAATATGAGCTTTCCAGTTACAGAATTTATCTAAGGTGATTTCTAAAAATTTTGTGTTATCTACTTCTTCTTTAAGTTGGTTATTCACACTTACATTAATTTTATAATTTTTGTTATTAATTGTTTTAAAATGTATAAATTTTGTTTTATTTACATTAAGATTATTATTTTTCAATATTTGCTTTATG